CTAATCTAAGGATCCTTTCTTCATCATTCCAGTTGTCTCTGGCAACTGTCCCTCTAAATGGCTGTTTCCACAAGAAAATAAACTATGCTGGCGGTACAAACACATCTGCTGCCCTCCTGGGGCTCAGCGCTAGGACTGCATTCTCCTGGGACACGCCATGACATGCAGCTGTTGGAGGGGAGAGACGTTTCCCAGCAGCTGGATCATAGGGAAGTATGGGAGGGACAGCAGATTGGCAGCGTGTGGTGACCATACAGACGGGGGCCACTTAGCTGCCCCGGGGAAGCTCACGTGGCCACATGCATGCCTGCCTTATCTCCAGTGGCCCCTCTGCCTACCTACCTTATCTCCAGTGGCTCCTCTGCCTACCTGTCAGGCTATTGCCTCCAGGAGAGCTGGACGTGGAAGAGTTAGGGTCTCCAGACCCTTAGGAGAAGATGGAACTTGGCTTGGTGGAATCAAGGCCCAAGGCCCAAAGCCCATATGGATGCTGTGGGTGGGCACCCCAATGGCTCTGGATACCTTAACACACACACAGGCACATAGGCAAGCACACACATACTCAGGCCACGGGGTAGAGAGACCCTTAGCATTTTTCTTTTTATTTTGTTTTGTTTTTTAATCTTATTATATTGCTCAAGCTGGTCGCAAATTCCTGAGCTCAAATGTTCTTACCTCAGCTTCCCGAGAAGCTGGGATGAAAGACACATGCCCCCAGGCTTTTCCCAAGATGCACTTTTTCTACCTGTGCTGGTCCCTGTCAACAATCCCACCTCCACTCCCCATCTACAGTGCAAAGTGTCCTTCTGGCCCCGGGCCAGCAGACAGCAGCTCTCAGGAACAGACCAACTCGCACATACCCAGAAACACCGAGACCTGTTATCCCTCTGGGGCCGTGCTGGTCATCTTCCCAGGGTCTGTGTTCAGGAGCCCACACACAAGCTTGGTGTCATCAGGCCCCCATTCCCAGGCCTGACCACTTCTCTTCCTGCCCAATACATGGCTGTCTCAGAGTCTCGTCCAGCCCATTTGCAAACATGCCAGCATGGCTCTAGGACAACTTAGATTCCATGTTGAGGTGGCATCCTAAGTGGCCTCCAAGTGCTGGCACATGCTGGCCTGGAGTCTTCCCACCAGGCAGCATCAGGTCCTGTCGATCTGCTCAGAACCCCCAAGACTGCTCATGTTAAGGTCATCACCTATGTCTTCCTCGTGGCCAGGGAAGCCTGTCTTCAGAGGTCTGGCTCCTCCCAGCCTCCTGCTCCCTCTGTCCCCTGCTCCAGCTCCACAGGCTCCTCAATTTGGGGTTCAAGGTCCCTTCATTCATGTTCCCTTCCCCTGGAGGGCCCTTCCCTTGGATAGTCTCATTATATCAAGCTTTAACATTACTTCACAGGGCCTTCCTGACCCCTGCCACAGGATTCCATCTGCAGACAGTGTAGACACAAAGGCCTCAATATGCCTATCCTAGGGATCAAGAATCAGGGTATTGGGTTAGAGCAGTGGTTCTCAACCTGTGGACCTTGACCCCTTCTGAGGGTCAAAAGACCCTTTCACAGGGGTCACTAAGACTATCTACATATCGGATATTTACATTATGATTCATAACAGTAGTAAAATTACAGATATGAAGTAGCAATGAAAATAATTCTATGATTGGGGGTCACCACAACATGAGGGACTGTGTAAAGGGTTGCAGCTTTAGGAAGGTTGAGAACCACTGGATTAGAGAGAGGCCACCACAAGATGCCAAGTAGGACTGATGCCATCCTAAGACTTCAGACACATGTCACTTTGACCCATGTGACCCAGTGACTGAAGCTTGTCTGTCTCTTGGTACTACCTGAGCAAAAGACAGAGAATACAGAATAATAACTGACACAGTAATGTCACCGCTCCTGGCCCTGGGGAACAGGTGAGGATGTCCTTCTGGCTGTGGCCCTATACCCCTAGAGGCCTGTGCCCAGCGCTGGAGGAACAGCAGGGACTAGGGATCAGTCCTGATTCCACAGAGCCAGCAGGGGGTGAGGCTGCCTGCAGTTGGTGTCCTTCCTCTTGTCTCCTTGGCCTTGCCAGGTCTTAGCCTGGCCTGAGCTGAGGAGCCAGTCACAGCAGGGACAGTCCCAATTCTACCCAGTGGCAGCCCCTCCCCTGGATTTGCTATGACCTACTATGGCCAGATTCAGTGATGAGAGAACCCTCCCCTGTCAGGAGAGCCCTGTGAGCATGTCTTCCTGAGACAGGAAACCAGGCAGCATAAGGGGACAACATCACAGGAAGAGGACCCCAAGAGCTCCTCAGAGGCTGTCGCATTGAGGCTGGGCTTCTATAGCAGGTCGAGGAGGAATACCCATGTCCAGCTCCCCCATCCACCCACTCACCCTGTCGCTAGAGTTTTCCTGCCTGGCCCACTGTCAGGACAAATCTCTGTCATCCACCAGTCCCACAGCCGCTCAGACCCAACCAAGTAAACACAGAGACTTATATTGCTTACAAACTGTATGGCCGTGGCAGGCTTCTTGCTAACTGTTCTTACAGCTTAAATTAATCCATTTCTATAAATCTATACCTTGCCACGTGGCTCGTGGCTTACCGGCATCTTCACATGCTGCTTGTCATGGCGGCGGCTGGCAGTGTCTCCCTCCACCTTCCTGTTCTCTCAATTCTCCTCTCTGTTAGTCCTGCCTATACTTGCTGTCTGGCCCAATCAGTGTTTTATTTATTGACCAATCAGCAACACATTTGACATACAGACCATCCCACAGCATCACCCTGAGCGGGGGTGGGGGTGGGGGACTCCCTCCTCCCTGGACCCGTCTCTCACTATGACTTCCCAAAGGAGACTGATGACCCTCACTATGTCTAGGATTCAACTCATCTATGTGAATTCACAGCATTTTTGGTGGGTAGGGCTGCTTTGGAACAAGCTTTGAGAACCTTCAAGCCATCCCGTGTGTTTCCATTTCTCTCACTGTTTTCTGAAAGGGCAGATGTGTGTCTGCAGATTCTGAGGGACATCTTCCCAGGCTTGTGGGGAAAAGTTCCAACCTGGTAGGTGCTGACTTGGAGAGGATACAAAGGAGGAGGGCCCAGGAGTCCCTGAAAGCCTCCAGCAACCAAGACCAACAAACAGGAGAAGGTGGAGGGCTACCCTTCACCAAGATGGCTACCTTGAGAGTCAACCCACAGGTACATATGCTGAGCGGTTCTGCACCAACAGTGTCCCAGTGCTTCTTGGGGAGCTAAGGGAGGTTGGGGGGCACAAAGAGAGTCTTTCTGTGCAGGGCAGTCTTTCTGGGACAACTCTTCCTGGATAATACCTGATGGCCGTAGTCATTCTCCACTTCTGACTGTCCCTTCAAACAGTGGAGATGCTAATCTTTGGCACATGCCCTCGGTATGCCCTGTTAGTCTTAAGAAACTGATGGTTGCCCAGGGTACCTCAAAAGACATCCCAGCAGCCCTACCTGAGTCTGTGGAGCAAGGTCACACTAACACAATCACATCTCTCACCCATGGTGTTTCCCTGAGGATGAGTCCATAGCAACAAGGAGGAGCTGCCCAGGGTCCTGGGCCCAGGGCTTAACCCACCCTCTCTTTGGGGCCTCCCTCACCCCAGAATGGGCCTCCAGGGACAGCAACCTAGCTAGATGGTTCCAATAGGAAATGCTCCCCCCAGGAGGCAGATGCCCCCAGAGGCCAGGGACCTAGGCCTGTCTCCAGTGGAATCAGTGCCTGAACTTATTGGAAAAGATGGCCTCCCATTTCTTTCCTTTTGCTGTCTCCTTCTTACCACGGGTCAGTGCCCAGGTCAGCACTCAGAATAGGGCACTTTGAGCTATGGAGATAACATCTACAGGAAAGGGGAGCAACATGCCCATCAGTGTTCACCACCCACCCCGAGTACCCTCAGGACAACCTGGCCCAGCTGTCACAGGCTCACAGCCCCACCCATCCTCCCAAGCGCCCTGACTAGTCCTCACAGGGCTAGATGTGGCCCTCTTTCCTCACCAGCACTGCATGGCAAGGACACTGTTCCTCTGGCCCAGGACCAGAGCTGCACTGAGCTCTCTGTGAATGTGAGTCTCAGAGCTGGGGAGATAACTAAACCCACAGCCTTGAGGAGACAGCTTGGCCTGAGACCGTGAGTCATGTCAGACCTTTGTTTTCTGTCTCTGGTGTCTCACCCCATCTCAAGGCCCAGTGACCTCAAAGTCTACCCTGCCCCCATTCTACCCAGAGAGAACCAAGACTTGGATACGGGGGTGTGATCCTGGGATAGCTAGCCTGCTGCTTCCTGCAGACGAAGTGCTCCGCTCTTGTGTTGGATGGCAGGGGAAGCTGGCAGGGCCCGGGCTGTGTTCCCACTATGCTGTGACTCACCAGCCCTGGTGGGCAAGCCCCCGCCTCCAGGCTTGCTGCTCCCGCTTCTCCCTCAGTCACAGCCCAGTCCCTGTGGGAGGGAACATGGTGACCTGGCCTGTGGAGCAGTGTGGTTCCTCCAAGGCTCTAGAAACTGTGAAGTCTTATGAATCACCCAGGGTTTTGTGCACTGTACAGTACTGTTATTCATCCAGGACTTTGTACATTGTGAAGTGCTAAGTGACCATGGTCAGCCATTCATTCATAGCAGGCTGTGACAAATAGAGGAGCAGGGTCCAGGCTCATGGGTCACAGTCACACTGTGGACAACCCAGCAGTGCCCCAAGCCTTCCAGCACCACCTACATGAGAGTCTGATGTGAACACACTTGCTGCCACAGGATGGAGTCCCTGTGGGACAGGAGATAGCCACCATGTCCTCCCTGCCCCCTTTCAGGAGAGGGACATGGGCTCTGAGGGTCTGAAGTGAATTGGAACTCACTAGAGTTGACCATGGGCTGGCTGGTGATTGTCCACCAAGGACAGAGTCTGGGCACCAGCACCTTCTACATTATTGGAGTTAGATGCCCCCACTCCACCTCCATCTATCATAATTATTTTAATTAAGAAGATAAGAAGCAGCTTGTGAAAGATTTAATTATAATTAGCAGGTGACAATACTTGGGTGAGTCAAATAACCGAGCGGGTGCTGGTTCACAGACTCCTGAGAAATTCACATTTGCAATTGGCTACTGCGATGGACTGTGGCTACTGAGACAGTGGGAAGCCACATCTCCCAACCCTGGGAGGCAGCAGAGTTCCCAGCCCACCCCAGCAATGTGAGGATCTAGCCCTGAATGTCCCAACCTGGGTCAGCACTGCCGTGGCTGCCTGTGTCGTCACTGGGTCCTGAGTCCAGAGAGCCCAGCACACGGCTGGCACACTGCGGTCACTGAGCGTCACAACCTGCGATCCATGCTCTTGTGCTGTCTTCTGTCCTGGGCTGTGCACAGGATGCAGCTGGCACAGCAGGTACAAGGAGCACACCTGGGCTGGCTCCAGGTTCACAGTCGGGATACACAGAACCTAGCGAGACGTGACCCTGCCCTTCATGTCCCGGAAGAAGTACCGTCAGGGAAAGAGAGGTAACCCTCAAAACCAAACAAAAACCCGAGCTAGGACAAGGTGGCAGTCACAAGGCTATATATAGAGCTAGAAGCAAGGAAGCCACAGTGCCTTGGACCAGGGACGGTTTCCTGAAGAGAGCTAGACCTGATTTGGAGAGATGCTGGCAAAGGACAGCCTGGGGACCATGCACCGAGCCTGGGCCTGTAAGGGCAGCAACAGCTTGTAACCACAGACTAGGAGTGCAACCTGAGCCCACTGGCTAGATTCAGTCTGCCCTAAGCCCGTTGCTGTGTGACCCCTCAAGGACCCTTGTGTCTTCGCTAGAGTTGCCCCATGTCTGTCATGGTTAGTTTTTAGTGTTTTTATGTTTTGTTGTTGTTTTTTTGTTTGTTTGTTTTTGTTTTTTGTTTTTTTGTCAAATTGACCCAAACTAGAGTCAACTAAGAAAATTGTTTCATTAGATTGGCTATAGGCAAGTCTGTGGAGGCATTTCATTTCCTTGATCGATGTTTGATGTGAGACGGCCCAGTCCACGATGGGTGGCACCACCCCTAGGTAGGTGGTCCTGGGTTATAGTTTAGAAACCAGCAGAGTGGTCCATGATAAGTAATCACCATTCCTTAGCTGTCTCTGTTCCCTTCAACAATGGACTATAACCGCAAAGTGTACGGCAAATAAACTCTCTCCTCCCCAAGTTGCTTTTGATCAGTGCCTTATCAGAGCAGCAGAGAAACGAGCTAGAACACTGTCAAACTGGGTTGCAGAGTAGCCTTTTCCCCGAAGGAGGCTGACTAGGGCCTGCCTGGAGTGGGCTAGACACCCAGTTGCAGAGGGTTGCTGGAGCTGCTAGGTGGGCATGAGTTATCCAGAAGAGGAACCCTCGAGTTACACAGGGCTCTGAGGACCCAGGATGTGAGGGAACGGCACAGGCCACAGGAGCCCCCCCCTCACCTCTCCAGCTCCTGGTGGCTCCCGGGTGTCCCTGCTTATGGTACACTTCTCTGGTCTTCGTGGGTCTCATGTAGCCTTCTCCTTATATCTGGCTCAGGGCTTTCTCTTTTAGACACTGGCAGTAGATTAGTCTGTCCTCATTCAAGATGGTCACATCTCAAGATCCTTAATGGCCTCTGTGGACACTTAATAGGGTCATGCTTGCAGGCCTGGGGCTTAGGAGTAAGTGTACTGGGGAGAGACTCTCCAATCCACTTCGCTCCACTCCACAGATGCTCTAAGGGTGCGAAGAGCTGAACACTCAATGGCCCGTCCATCTGTAGCCGGCAGCCCTTATGCGTGGACACCGGGGCTCAGTGTCCTAGACGCAGAATCAGGACCAAGAATTAGAACCAGGTGGATGGGAACATCTGGTCCCCACGCTGTCAGGGACTTGTTCGTTCTCAAGCCTCCCAGCGAGGGCCTCTCTGGGCAGAATGAAGCTGGCCCATCTCCCTGAGAGGCTGCAAGAATCACTTTCACTGCCCCTGCAGGCCTCACACCGGCATGCCTCGATTTATTGCTATTCCACTCAAGCTGAAAGGAATTGCAAACGAAATTAGCCAGTGATTTAAAGGGAATTGATTTTATCTGAAAGCCCTCTAAGCGCTGGCTGGCCCCATCCCCCACCCAGTGAAGGGAGTGGTGGCTGCCACTTTCTGATTGCCCGCTCCCTCACTGCACCTGATCTAATTTCCTGCCCCGGATGGCTCCTCCGGAGAAGCCTAGCTCCTCTGTCTTCTGCTGGCACCTGAGCTGCGACTTCGGGCTTTGAACTGTGAAGGAAATAGACTTCCTTTTCTGCTTCAACCCTGTGTGCCCTGTGCTAGCTAGACAGCCTGAACAACAAAGGAATGTGGGATTTCTGCTCTGGGATCGACTGCAGAGGCTGTCAGAGTCACTGTGCTGCTAAGAAGGGTGACGGGGATGTCCCCAACTAGTGCTCCTCTCAGGGGGATCCAGGCCCTGAGTGTGGAAGAGGCTGAGATCCTTGGCCCAGAATCTGAGTCACATGACCTTGAGAAGGTCAGGTTCCGCAGTGGGGGAGCTGTAAAATCAGAAGTATGGAGACCACCCACAGGTGGGCCTAGTACTGAGAGAGATGCCAGACCAGGAGCACAATCCACTGCCAGGATTGTGTCTTTGGCCCTTAGCCTTAAGTCCCATTAGCCAAACTAGGTGAGCTTGGGAGCCCTGCACAAGCCAGCACGGTGTTGGCCAGTCTTTCTGCCCCAGCCCTTGAGAATCTTATCCTTCAAGCCATGATCCCCAACCGGAGCCCTGGAGCACAGTGCGGGCGGATCTGACTGTAGGGGCAGCAGGCTGAGCCTCACAGTGCTCAGAATACCTGTCCTTGCTGTACCACCAGCCAGGACTCTGACTCCCACCTCACTGACAGTCGGGGTGAAAGTACTCCACACCTCCCCATGCAGAGAACAAGGGGAAGGGGAAACAGGCCATCTACCCTGACCCTGGTCACAGCTTCACACAGCCAATCCTTGCCTCACTCCTGTGCCCCTTCCGTGCCCTTGTCTTGACTCCTTCACCCTTGTTATTTGGCTGCCCGGGCATCTGCTTTTTCAAAACCGCCCACTTCAAGTTTAGATTCCACTGTCTACCCCTCAACCCTGCATCCCTGTGACTGCCCCTCAACCCTACATCCCTGTGGCTGCCCCTCAACCCTGCATCCCCATAACTGCCCCTCAATCCTGCATCCCCATGGCTGCCCCTCAACCCTGTATCTTCATAGCTGCCCCTCAACCCTGCAACCCCATGACTGCCCCTCAAACCTGCATCCCTGTGGCTGCCCCTCAGCCCTGCATCCCCGTGGCTGCCCCTCTGCCTGAAGTTCCTTCCTGTAGATCATCCAGTGAGAGGCTCTGTCTTTCCTCTGTTCCCAGGTTGGACCCAGGATTTGGATGTCTGACATTTGGAAATGACTATAAACCATATTCCACTTGTTTCAACCAACTTCAGAGTAGAAGGTGAACAGGGCTAGCTAGCCAAAACCTGTGCCCTGTACAGATGCCACGAGGCTACAGAGACAGCTCAAACTGGGACCCAGAAATGAGTCACAATTTACCCAAAGACACAGAGCAGTCTAGCTGAACTGGGGCCACAAAACCCTGAAGTCCCAGCCCCAGCTGTCCTGAGATTGGCCTAATGTCACCAAATCTCCACCTGGGCCCAGCACAGCCCCTGTGTTCTCATCTTCTAGGATTCCAGATAAGCAAAGCAGGGGTAGATTCTCCAAACAGCTGCAAACCGGACAAAAGGAGAGGTGATTTGGGGCCTCTGAACCTCAGGAGACTTCTCGGCTGGCAACAGAGTGCCACTTTCTATCCAAGACAGAAATTGCACATACCTGGGATCACACACATTCCTTCTGATTGTGTTTCCAGCAAGTTCCCATCCCAGATCAAAGCTGGCAAACTGGACAGGCCTCTTTGAACCCTTCCCAGGTCTTGGCCAGACAGGTCCTGAAAGCCACAGCTTTTTCCCCCTCTTCCAATAGAAAGAAGCAGAGGAGCAGAGCTGGAGCCTCGGAACAAATTTTGGAAAGACTTTCTGTCCTAGTCGGGGTTTCTATTGCTGTGATAAAACACCATGACCAAAAGGGAGGAAAGAGGTTATTGCACCTTGTAGATTCCAGTAACTGCCCGTCACTGAGGGAAATCAGGGTAGGAACTCGCGACAGGAATAAAACAGAGGTCATGGAGGAGGGCTGCTTGCTGGCTTGCTCACCATGGCTTGCTCAGTCTGCTTTCACTTGTCCAGGGAAGACACCACCCTCAGTGGGCTGGGCCCTCCCACATCAATCAATCAAGAAAACACCCTCCAGGCTTGCCTGCAGGCAATCTGATGGAGACGTTTTCTCAACGGAGGTTCTGCTTCCTAGATAATTCTAGCTTGTGTCAAGTTGGTTGAAAAATAAATAAAATAAAATAACTAGCCAGCACACTTTCTCTCCCTAGCTCCTTCTGGCCCTCTGGTGCGCCTATGAGCAGTGGGATCAAATCCTTGTGTTTCTTTCTAGAGATCAGCCCTGGATGCGCTGGAAACAGCAGTGGACCCATGACCCAGGCTGGCCAGTCCTCTCTGTCTATCCTAAGGTTCTGTCTGGCACAAGGTAGAGCATCTGGCCCCAAATGGCTAATCTTTCCGATAGGAGACTGGGAAGTCTGTGGAGGTTATTAGAGCTATCAATGTCCCCGTGGAGATGTTAACTTAAGCATAAAGCAATGCGAGGCAGAGAGACAGACGGACAGGTCTCTCTGACATTCGACATCCCACATGTTCTGAATAGTGCCCCTCCCCCTGCAGCCAGATGCAGCTGTACTAATTAAGCTTATCTGTCCCTACATTTTCCACTTGTATGAAACAAGTGATTGTACCACTTCAAGTTTTAAGGATGATGTCTGGGCCAGGGATGTAGCCAGGGCATGTGGCTGGGAACAGCAGAATGCTGGCCTAGTATGTCCTATCCCTGGGTTCCATCCCCAACATGCCATAAAACAGGTGTGGTAGTGCATACCCCTTGTCCTGGAGCTCAGAAGTTGAAGGCAGGACCGTCAGAGGGATCTTCAGCGTGAGTTTAATGCCATCTTAGTCAATACAAGACCCTGTTAGAAAAACAAAAGACAAAAGAACAACAGAACAGACTGAAGGGATCTCTTCCTGGCACAGGGGCATTCTCTGACCACTGAGCCCTTCCTCACAGGGCTGGCATTGTGTCTGGCTGGTCTGCTTGCTGTCTCCGGTTGATGGAATAGTGGGGAGAAAGAAGTTACTTTCCCTCGGGAAGGAGAAAGGTCTCCTGCTGCTTGTTCAGAGAAGAATTACCAGAACCATTGTAGTTATATCCTCCTCTTTTTCTTTTTAGAGTAGATTCAGTGATCTACCCATTTATCCTATTATTTCTTTATCTTTTTTCTCAGAGTCAGGTCTATCTACCTCATATCTATATTCTCTTCTTTCTTTTTCCTTTTTTTTTAAAACAAAGTCTCTGAATCTAATCTCCATGTTCAGCTTTTTTCCTGATCATTAGCAATTAACAGCTTGTAACCAACCATCATAAACAATGACAATATCCATAACTCATTAAACGACTGTCAGGGACCTACAGTGTCCACAGGTAAGATCAGGACTCAGAGGCCACAAAAGTGGGGGTGCTTCCAGCCAGGAAATCCCACCTGCTCTGTGAATTACCAAGATGACCCCCCTCTGAGTTTCTACCCAGCTCCCTTCCAACACACACACATACACACACACACACACACACACACACACACACACACACACACACACACACACACACACCCCTGAGCTCCACCACGAAGCCATACAGTTGTAAACCTCTCCAGTCAGCTCACTTGGGACCGCTTGAGCCCACATGTGGCCCAGGGTTCTGGGTAGCTGTTGACCAGCACAGAGGCCACCCCCTGGTCAGCTTCAGGTAGCTCACACTCTGCCTGCTCACTCAGGATAACTGACACTCATCTGACGGTAATTCAGGAACCATCTCCTGTCCGGTTTCAATGTACTCTCTTTCTCTCTGGCTCACTCATCTCCACATACACATCCAACCACGAGTATCATTATTAGACCAAGCTCCCCTCAGGTTTGAGAGTCAAAGGCATAGAAATAGCATGTGGCCCTCTCAGAAAGGGCTGTCCTTGGAGCTGGCACCAAAGGCAAATACCTGAGGTGCACACTGGCCTATTTTAAAGCAATCTCCTGGTGAATGCATCCCTGCCGCTCCCTCCCCCTTGTGAAATCTATTTTAAAAGATCAGAATTTTCTTTACATCCACCTCTGTAATGCACTACGGGAGAGAAGGGAAACATAAATATATCAGGATACAGGCTGTGGGGTCAAAGTGAGTAAGGACAGGAGTCATGAGCATGCGCAGGCCTGGAAGGAGGCTGATGTTCCTATCCCCCGGCTCAGTTCCATAGCCCTTGTGGGTGAAAGCAGAAGTCACTGCTCTAGCTCTCCCTGGGCCTCTTGCTGCCCCACACTCAGGCTCTGCAGCTTGCTGGGGTGCATAGAGCACTCAGCTTTCCACAGGAGCGCCCCCCATACATACATACCATGTATGGATCCTTGATAGTGTGACCCAAATCACAGTTCATAAAAGCCTCAACCCTACCCTGAGGGGTGGAACCCACTCTCTGTCTGGTGGTCTAGCCATGCCTCCTCACCCTCTAAGGAGTTACCCAGCATGTGGGAGCTGCAAGAATTCACAGAAGGCCCAAGAGCTGGCCCAGGTCAGAGCAAACAGCCCTAGGCACCTTCAGACCAAAAGGAGACAATGGCAGAATGGTGTCACCCTGGAGGAAGACAGTCCTTCCCCTTGTCCCTTCAACTGGGTCTCATCAAGGATCCACCAGTTGGCACCCTGAGACCACCCTTGGCCATGGAAGACAGTTCCTGTGCAGTCCCTGTTTGTCAGTTTTTAACAGCTGCCTGAATGGAACTTGGGTAGTGGAGGCCAGGACAGTGTGGCCAACATCTTCCTACCTCCTTCTGTCACCCTGGCTCCCATCAAGGCGTGGCTGGGGCTGCCCTCCTGGCCTGGCTGACCTGTGTCAACCAGTTTCTGGGTAGGCCCTCACCAGTACTTCAAATCGCAGACTCCTCCAGTGTCCTGAGTATAGCGAATGAACGAGAATGTGGCTGAACCACATGCTCCTGAGCCATCCGTGCCCCTGACCTCTGCAACTAAGGCCAGCACCCGACCTCAGCTCTTTCCCAACTGTGTGGCCTCCTCTAGGAAGCCTGTCAGAGCTCTGACCTATGCCTGCCTCTGAACACCTAAGTGATGACCCATTATGCCACCAAGATCTCTTGACCTTTACTGTGGCTTCATAAAATACCTCTTTCCAGGTGCACACAGCTAGTGTCTCCAGAGCTCCCATCTACAACTGGACATAGCATCTCAGATCGGCTTCCTGCCCCTTCTGCTATAACTTGTGTCTGGAAGCTGCGTGTTAGGCCCCTCTGCTCCCTCTTCTGCCCAGCACACAGTAGGGAGCTGTGTGTTTGGTGAGTGGATGCTGTGTCACAGTGCAGGGCATCCCTCCCTAGATGAGATATCCAGGAAGGGACAGAGTTGGAAACGGTCCCATGTAGAAAGTAGGCCGCACGCTAGGACATCAAGCTTCTTACAGCTGTCTGCTCACCTGCATTACCCAGGAGCCCCTTGGGGTGCCTGTCAGGCCTGGTGATTGACCATAGCCTAGAGGCACAAATGCCTCAAGAGAGCCTCAGGCTTGGGAGGCCCTTCACCAGCAGCCTCTGGGTCCAGCTCTTGGCCTAGGCTCCTGTGTGAACAGAGCAGGTACCTCAGAGGAGCCAGTGTGTCTGCCTGATTCTCTCTCCTGCCTGAGCATACATTATTACAGACCCCTGCCCTGGGCATGTCCTGGGTTCTGTGGCCCTGCACCACAGGAAGTCCCATCAGCAAAGTCCCATGGAAGGGAGATTGGAGATCCCTTCCCTCAGAGACCCCAAGGATTGATGGACAGGCGGGTCTAGAGGGCCTTTCCCTGTCCTCTTGCCTCTGCAGAGAAAGAGCCTGGACCACGGAAGGGAAAGGAGAGGGCAGAAGGGAAAAGGAGGGAAGAGGAGGAGGAAGGAAGAGGATAGGTAGCCGGAAGGGAAGGGAGGAGGGGGAAGGGAAGGGAAGAGGGGAGAGGGAAACAAGGAGGAGGAGGAGGAGGAGGAGGAGGAGGAGGAGGAGGAGGAGGAGGAGGAGGAGGAGGAAGCAAGGAAGGAAGTCTTGAGCCACCAGGCATGCTCTTCTCAAGGCTAAGGGCAGAAGGCATCCTAGCTGGGGCCCCACAGCAGGCCCCTTCTGGAAAACGTCTAAAGACTCAGTCTATTTTTGCTCTCTGGCAACAGAAGCCACGCTGTGACTTATCTCTGACACAGAGAGAGCTTTGTCGTGTCCCCCCCCCCCCGCCCCCCCCCCCCCCCCCCCCCCCCCGGCTCCATGGTCCCAACCCCCACCCCTAGTCCCAACTCAAGACAAAAGCAGGGCCAGCAAGTTGCCCCATCTGTCTGAGTCAGCACCTCCCAGGACAAGGAAGCCAGCCAGGGTCAGGGCTTCCACTCTGATGCGGGACATCATTCCTGATTGCTTCCACAAGCCCACACCGGTTCTTGCTTCAGGCACCTTTGCCCATACTTACTGTGGCTCTCACAGGCCTTCCCAGTCCCTCTAATGCTTTGAGATGCGCACTTGCCCTAGGTGGGGACATTTCAGTTTCTCCAGGGGAGCCCTGTACCTCATCCTGAGACCTGAGAAAAGGGAAGTTGCCAGATAGTTCTAACACAGAAATGAGAGCTTAAAGGACCCTGCAGGATATGTGAGTAGCCACTGTGGGACTCTGGCTGGGTGGGGACAGCTGTGCTTCCCTGTAACCAGTGACAAGCCTGGAGGAGTGCATGCTTGCAACTCCACATACCAGGCCTGCTGCAGATATCGGTGGCCTGACTACATCACCACGGCCAGGCAGGGCCAGGCAGGGCCAGGCAGGCTGCACTGTGGTGCCCTGTGCCTCACAGTATCTCCAAGAGTTGATCTCAACCTGAGCTGCCTCTCCCCTGGCAGGATGGCCTCTTGCTTCCCCTACCCTGACTCACGCACTCTTCCAATGCCCATCACGGCTCCTTGACTTTGCCTCTTTTTGGACCTCACTAAAATAGATTCACTGGACAGTGTTGTTTGCGTCTGGCTTCTGTCACTTGTCCCGGAACCTTGGAGGTGGTCCCTGGTGTTGCACGCTCATTTTCACCATTGCATAGTGTCCTGTTGTGTGAAGGTGTGTGAAGATGCCTCCTATTTATTTGTCCCATTCCCCCTTCAAGAGCATTTGAGCTGTTTTCTGGTTCTGAGGTTCTACCCACAAAGTGGTTCTAAATGTCTGTCCACATCTTCTTCTGAACGCCTGCTTTCATTTCTCCCAGTAAGTCTGTAGAAGGAGAATCATTAGGTCCAGAAAGAACAGAGATGTAACACTATGAAAGATAACCAAGCAGATCCAAGCTGCACCCTCCCTCTATAGCTCCCTAGCTGCTTTGATTCTCTCCCCAATGTGAACCACCATCCTGAGATGCCCTGCTCTTCTGCGTGGGTTTTGTGAGCCAGATACCCCTTAACACTAACCACCGTCCTTCCTGTCTGGGTTAGGCTGCACACTGATATCTTAAACTCTCCTGCCAGTTTTGTGTATTTGTTCAAAGCATATCATCAGAGAATGAGTCTGGTGCCAGCTATGAGACCATTTATCTGAACCCATCATTTTTACTTCCCAGTGTGTTGCTGGAACCATAGACAAATTTATGACTTGCTAGGCAGTGCTAAGGGGGTGTGTCTTAGTTAGGGTTACTATTACTGTAATGAAGTACCATGACCTTTAAAAGCAACTTGGGAAGGAAAGGGTTTATTTGGTTTCCATATCCTGAATCACAGTCCACTGAGGGAAGTCAAGGCAGGAATTCAAGCAAGGCAGGAACCTGGAGGCAGGAGCAGATGCAGAGGCCATGGAGAAGTGCTGCTTGCTGGCTTGCTCCCCATGGCTTGCTCAGCCTGCTTTCTTATACAACCCAGGACCAC